TTTTGGAAAACAGTTTTTTGAGTTTTTCAAATTTTCGAAAATTTTCAAAATGCATTTTCAAGTAAAAATTTAAAGTTTTATGAACAAATACTGATTTCGGAAAAAAGTGAAAATTTTTGGAAAAAAAGGGGAAAATTTCCTATGTCCAAACGGGCTCTTAATATGGGTAACATTGTAAGTTATGCACTTTATTTTTTATTTCTTAAAGGATGTGCAAAGTTCATAGGTGACAAGTAAAAGTGAACGGAGGAGTATTTTTTAATTGTGCACCCCACCTCTCTTGTAAACCCACTTCTTTTTCGCCATTTTTATGTTGTCTTTACTAATTGTCATCAATGACCACAACAACCGGCAGAAACAAACCTGACAAATTCTAAAACTCTAGGCTTGCATATTAAAAATCTGAAATTCACAATCCAAAACACCTAGATTTCACATTCACATTACCACAAGCAAAATCAGCATCAATGCACTAAGTTCGTCCCAAGAATCATTACCTTCAAACCACCGGAAAAAATGCAAAGTCACCAGAAAAATGAACTCACATCCTTTTCTTTTCTTTTCCGAAATTCCTCATCTGAAACCACCCAAAGACCATATCTAAAAAGAGAAATGCTAACGGAAAAGTTTTAGCTGGTTGTCTTCTTTGATTCGAAAATTCAGACCCAATTAACAGGAAAACCAAATTCTTACTACCGGTTCTGCCAATTGCCAATTCTAAAAAAGTCAACTTTTTTTCTCCGACGATTTTGCCAACTTCTAATTGTGGTTATCTTTATATATCTTTCTTCATCCCTCTTAAGATTCTTAAACTCAAAAGAAGAATTCCTAAATTCTTTTTCAAATAAAAGGAATAAAGAGAGGCATGGGGAGCAAAGGTGGGGGTCTGGACGACAAGAAGGATAGATGGGTGGGAGGAAGTGTTGGGTTTTTCTTTTTATTTTTTGTTTTTATATCTTCCTTATTTATATAGTTTTTAATAATTTTTCCATCAAAATATCATATTCACGCACCTTTCAAGTATGGTTTGAACACAGTTTAGCCATGTCAGCTATATTATCTTCACACACGCATAGTCAACAAACAAAGTGATTTAATATTGTTCAAATATATAAGTTAGAATATTTAAATGGGAAAGTTGTAAGTTTGTATACCGGGATGATAAATGGGTGCAAGTGTATGTGGTCCTTAGGTCATGTCGCATTTATTTTTAAAGTTTGAATCTTAATCATATGCCTTTGTCGTTGTTAGGATTGGGAACTCGGGTAATGCGGAATTTAGCCAAACAACGGTGTAATGACAATAACAAAAACAATGGAAGTTGATAACAACGGCAATTAAAGCATATAAAGAAGACACAAATTTAACGTGGTTCGGTCAAAGTGACCTACGTCCACAAGCGGAGAGGAGTAATTTCACTATACCAACAAGAGTACAAAAGAGAATACAAAATTAGAGTAAACACTCTAATTAATTCGAAATACCCCAAGAGAATAACCTCACAAGATCACTCCAAAGAAAGGGCTCGCACAAGTGCTTCCCAACACTTAACTCTCATACAAAACGCTCTTAATAAAAGGAAGAAAGGAAGAAACAAGAAATGAATACTCAAGTCTTGTTGGTGTATATTTGGTGTGTCTAAAATGAACTAATAACCTTCCCTTTTATAGGCAAAAAAGTCTTGGCCTCTTGGGCGTAAAAGAAGAGATACAACTTGTATAAATGATGTCCATCACATAATTCAATATTTTTAGGTCCCAAAGAATATTACCAACAAAGTCTACTTTGCAAGCATGCTTATTTATGATGGAATCCATTAGCCAAAATATTGGCCATAATTACAAATCTCCACCTTGGCCTAATTTTAGTTGATGTAGTAAATTTGCTCCACCCTCTCCGTAAAAGCCCCAACGGGCACATGTCAAAATTTAATGCCATCAAAATCAGACAAATTATCTGATACCGAAAATGTATTAAGGCCTGTAACAGTGGATCCCAATAAAGTATACAATGAATCAGATCTGTGTGCTTTCATGATCACAAGAGCACCATGAGAAACTTTCAAAACTCTGCATTCGCCTGTGTACTTGCACCCAAGAGATTCTAGAGTGCCCAAAGAGATGAGATTTTTCTTCAATTCAGGAACATGTCTAACATCGGTGAGAATTCTTACCACACCATCGTGCATTTTGATTCTGATTGTACCTTTTCCAATAACTTTGCAGGCAGCATTGTGGCCCATCAAGACAATTCCACCTCCAATAGATTCATATGTGGTAAATAAATTGTGATTGTGACACATATGATAAGAACAACCCGAATCTAAAATCCACTCATTGTTAGATTTGAAACTATTATTAGTTGCTAAAACAATAGTTTCATCAATCTCATCAACAACTACACTTGCTTCGGCAATGTCAGTATTTTTGTGCTTATTTTTCCTTTCCTTATTTTTCAACTTATAGCATTCGGAGATAACGTGACCTTTCTTATGACAATAGCGACACTCTAAATTATTGTATCTGGATTTAGAGGGATTTGCCCCTAACAAACAAGCCAACTTCTTCTTGAGTTCTACTAGTTTCCCCAGTAATATCACTATCTATCTATTTTTTTGATTTTAAGATAGATTTAATATTCTTATAAGAGATATTATCCTTTACATAAAGCATAGTATCTCTTATATGCTTAAATGATGGGGGTAGAGAACAAAGCAGTAACACGGCTTGATCCCCATCTTTAATTTCAGCATTTATATTACTCAAATCCATAAGAATGGAATCAAAGGTATCAAGATGAGAGAGAATAGATGTACATTCACCCATACGAATTGTATACAGCTTTTGCTTTAGGTAAAGTCTATTTTCCACCGTCCTCTTCATATATAAAGTTTTCAATTTTTCCCACATGCCTTTGGTTGTGGTTTCTATAGAAACTTCACGTAAAACCTCATTTGAGAGATTTAAGATGATACTTGATTTTGCCTTTTTGTTTATGATGGAAAACTTCTCGTCCGTCATTTTATCTGGCTTTTTCTCTTTTCCTTGCAATGCCAAGTCTAAGCTATCCTGAATTAGGATAGCTTCCATCTTTAACTGCCACATTCCGAAGTTTGCACTTCGGTCAAATTTCTCAACATAAGTCTTTGTTAAAGTCATATTGACTACTGAAACAAACCCGGTTAGATCCGGCTCTAATATCAATTTGTTAGGATCGGAAATTCGGGTAGTGCAAAATTTAGCCAAACAACGGTATAATGACAATAACAAAGACAATAGAAGTTGATAACAATGGCAATTAAAGCATATAAAGAAGACACAAATTTAACGTGGTTAGGTCAAAGTGACCTACGTCCACAAGCGGAGAGGAGTAATCTCACTATACCAACAAGAGTACAAAAGAGAGTACAAAATTAGAGTAAACACTCTAATTAATTTCAAATACCCCAAGAGAATAACCTCACAAGATCACTCCAAAGAAAGGGTTCACACAAGTGCTTCCCAACACTTAACTCTCATACAAAACGCTCTTAATAAAAGGAAGAAAGGAAGAAACAAGAAATGAATACTCAAGTCTTGTTGGTGTGTATTAGGTGTGTCTAAAATGAACTAATAACCTTCCCTTTTATAGGCAAAAAAGTCTTGGCTTCTTAGGTGTAAAAGAAAGATACAAAGATGGCACTTGATTTGAATGTTAAAGAAAGCAGCACCACAGTCCATTATTCAACTGTCACTCATAAGCGGCTGGGATTCTTGCAAAAGAGATAACTCTAACTGGTGAGCTATGTGTGCAGCTGGTGTGCAACGCATATTGGACTCTAATTGGTTTCTTGTTGCTGGTGTTTGCGATAAATTTCAAGTAACAAATTAAACAACTACAATGATCATGAAAAATCGACTTCATTATTTTAAGTCAAGTTATTGAATATTTCGAATAAATTTCTAAATAAGAAACTCCTTGTTATCCAATAAAAATCTAAAATTTCTAATAATAAACCAAAAACCCCTGCACATTAATTACAAAGACAAGCAAAACGAAAAATAATGAGTTTATCAATAAAAAGTGTCGTCATTCCAATCATGGCTCAATTGCCATGTGATTGCTGATTACCCTTCTCACTCAATCTTTTTTTTTTCCCCTCTTCAAGTTTCCAATCATTGATTTCTCTTTTTTTTTTTAAAGGATCATCTTTCCCATTTTACCCTTATTTTTAAACGTCTAATTTTTCCGTCAACCTCATCACTAACATTATTGGAGGTAAAAGTTAAGAGGGTAACATCATTTTTTCTGCAAAAAAAAAAAAAAAAAAAAAAAAAAAAAAAAAAAAAAAAAAAAAAAAAAAAAAAAAAAAAAAAAAAAAAAAAAAAAAAAAAAAAAAAAAAAAAAAAAAAAAAAAAAAAAAAAACTTTTAGGTTTAGGGTTACAAAAAGGGGACACGTCTTGGTAAATAATAAATTGAAGTCTTTAAAGAATTGAGAAAACTGTGCAATCTCTCAAGTAAAATGAATTATACAATCGAAAACTTTAAATGGGAGCCTTGAGCCATTTTACTATGAGAAAGATGATACTAAGCTTGAATTTAAACAAAAATACTGAGGCACTCAAGAGAAGAACAGCTACACTTTTTGAGCTATGTTTATGCAGAAGATTGTACTGTCACAAAAATGGAGTTTATTCTCCAAGCTCATTTATTTTATTTTATTTTGAGGACCGAGAAATCTGTCTAGGAACAACTGCAGCATTCGAAACTCGGATAATGGGTCCACCCCTCTACCCTACTCCACTTAAATACCAAGCTTAATTCGCATGGCACGTAGCTCAAACCCGTGACTTAATCACAAGTCCTTCCACCTTTTCCACTTGAACTAAGGCCCTGTGTGCTCTCCTAGCTCATGTAGCTTATCAAAGGTTTTAAGAACTTTTAGTTAGCACTCTTTTCAATTGTACCTAACAAACAATATTGGCAATACAACAAGGCTAAATGTACTAAACAAACAATATTGGCAAGAAAACAAAACAAAGATGATTAGAGGAAACAAAGGGGTGGGCGAATTGTATACCGCAGGGGCATCATTGGATCAGACAGAAAAACTGGCTTGGAACAAGCACATTGCTATATAGCAGTCAAGGACGGAAACAAAATCCATGAACTCAAAAACATGCCTAAGAAACCTTCTCTCAAGGTAAGTGAAGCTCCAATGAGTGAATGACGTCGTGCGCCCTTGCAGTATGGCCCATTATTGGTTTTCCTTAAAGTTGAATGTTCTCCCAGAAATACTAGACTAAAATTTGCAGGTAAATGATTGAATGAAATGATCTATTTCTTCTTCCTTTTGTCACATATAAAGAACACAACAAAGGCAGCTGCGATTCCTGCAATAATAAACAAGACATGGTCAGAGCACCAGACATGGGATCCCGGCTTTCGTTGTTTGGAGTGCTATTTGCATCAGCTCTGAAGAGAAACAGAGAAGCGCAGGTGATATGGATGTGGGGGGTGGGGGATAGAGAAGAGAGTGCATACCTATGCCGAACAAAATCCATGGTGAAATGGTGCCGAGGATGCTTAGAATTAATAGAGAGAAAACCACCTATTGCATCAGCCAGATGAAAGATTTCACAATTTAATAGATGAAATGCCAGTTCACAGCAAGATGCAAATAGAGCTAGTCCTATTACTTTTGGCCAACAGAAAGCCTAGAAATTCCCATGTTGTCCGCATTCAGCTTTCGTCAGGATTGAGGTGTTTATTCTGTATCATTTCACTTGGTCTTATTTAGCAGCTAGTAATCATCCAATAATGATATAAAACAATACTTCTGATATATATATATATATATATATATATATATATATATATATATAGCAAGTAGTGGATTCCATCTCCATGGACATGGCCAAACCATCATAGTTGATGTCAAATAATCGGGGATTGAGGGGTTAGTTGATTGATTAATTAATATTTTAATTGAGAAAGTATCGCCGCTCTGTTTGAATTAACATCATTATATGAATTTGAATTCTTGAAACTTATTGGAGTTGTTTTCAAAAATCTACATGCAAGTGCCAAATATTTCGATACATCACCACACAATGCTGTTCTGTAAAATGGAATGGACGAACTGAAAGAAAAGGTAAAGAATTTCATATGATAGTTAGTATGTATTTTATCAGAAAAGGCATGCCTACTCAATTCATAACCATATGAGAAAACGACCATGGCTTTGCATTACCTTCTGAAATTAAATAGTAAGGTATCACTATCACAGTTCTGCTCTCACAGGAAATGGATATAATGAAATAGAAATTACCATGAGGAAGAACATCCAAAGAGATGCAGATGATTTAGAAGGACCTTCCTTTCCTTGCCCATGTTCAGCTCTCAAATGTGGATATGACTCAATTGTCCTCCTAAGGCCCTCCTGAAGAAATAGAGTCATGCTTTACTTACGTGAATTATGTGGCGAGAATAAAAGCAAAAAAGAAACAGCAGAAAATGATCAACTGTAAATAGATGAGGCCCCACAGCATGGTACTGGTTTTAAAAGATCTAAGGTACAAATGTAACACACGTATATCAGTGTCTTATATGAAACACAAGTTGAAAGTCACATGTACGACATATTTGACCAGAAGATTTGCTCATTCCTGCAGTAATGATGTGGACATTCAGATGGATGAATTTTTCTGGCATTTAATATTAAAGGCAAAGAATACATTTTAGCAGAAATAGTTTACCATAATTTATCATATGAAAAGATCAACGAAGAAGATGCAAAAAGAGAAAGCAATGCAGAAAAGACCATAACAATACCTAAAAAAGTTGGGAGTATCTAAGACAGACATGGTATGCTAAACAATATTTATGAGGAATTATCAGAAGCAATTGATTGACTGGAAAGAAAATACAGGAACCTGAAGTGGGACAATAGGTGTGTATCCTATTCGATCACTTGCTTTTGAACAACTAAATGTTCTGCTGCGAGATAGGAGTCTGATTCTTGAAGGAGTTAGCTGTGGGACCTTCATTCCAAAAGGAGCGAACAGCTTATAAGTCAGCTCCACCAAATGTGCAATTGGCATCATAACAGATGCAGGAATCTTAATACTTGGCCTGCATACTACTAAAATCAGGAATATATATACAATACACAGCAATAGGTAAGCAGGATAAGGAAGACAGATGCAATCTAGTATACTATTAGGCAAACAAAATTTTTTTTGTTTGATTTGGTAAACCCCGATCCCCCATTCCGAACAGCCCTGCGCAGGAGTCGACTGTTTCCTTTATATGAAACTTATGTAATAATTGACAAATGCTGTTGTATATATCAGATGTATCTGCAAATACCTATGGTCAAAAATACACAGCCTCAATTGGCTAGGAATCATATAAGGGTTGATCTATGGTTACAAACTCATGAGAGGAACACCCCTACCCCCACCCCCCAAATCATATAAACATTCAGACCCATTAAACATAGACTCTTCTGATGAGCAAACTGAAAGTTTGCCAAGTTTGATTGTCAACATCAAGCCTAAATTGAATAATAATGTTCTTATAAACTTCTCCATCAAGGGCGGAGAAAGGCAGAAAACATTGAGGATTATATGGAATGCTGCTCCTTATCTGTACATAAGAAACAAAGTTTCATCGCCCCTAGCTCATTAAACCTACGTCCCAAAACAAGACACTTCTTTAAATATAATTTCATGAGGGTACTGGATAAACACAAAACCTTCTGTGTGACCAAGAATATCCTTTTCTCCATCTGTGGACTTAAACCTTTCGAGTAATCAAATTCTTTTTCAGAATTACACTAAAGGGATGTAGCAATTCTAGTTACAAAAAAAGGAGGAACAACCATGTAGCAAAATATAGAAATAGGGATGGCAATGGGGCGGTGCGGGTGCGGGGCGGGTTTGAGCATTCGCGGGGC